AGACATTTATTAAGCTCCTACTATGTGCCTCTCCCTGCCCTTGGTGCACTCACGGCCTGGCCCCATCCTCCAATGGGACTTTTCCCGATGATGGCGCCCCCGGCCACATGTGGCTACCGAGCCTTTGAAATGTGGCTGGTGCGACTGGTGACCTCGCCACCTTTTTTTTTTTGCTTCTTCTTCTTCCTTTTAAAAATACGTTTGTATTGATTTCAGAGAGGAAGGGAGAGGGAGAGAGAGATAGAGACATCCATGATGAGAGAGAATCATGGATCGGCCGCCTCCTGCACGCCCCCTACGGGGGATTGAGCCCTCAACCCGGGCGTGTGCCCTGACTGGGAATCGAGCAGTGACCTCCTGGTTCATGGGTCGAGGCTCAACCACTGAGCCACACCGGCCGGGCTGGTGAGCTCCACTTTTTAAATGGTATTTAGTGATTATTGAATACGGAAGAATTCAATGACTCCTGCAACCCTGGCAGGCAAGTCAATGGTTGGGAAACTTTTCGGGCAGGATTGGAATCACTCAGGCCGACAGGCCGCCCTGGAGGCGTCCGGGTGATGAGGTCTGAATACAGACCAAGCCTTTCTGGTGGGAGTTAGCGGCCATCTGCGAACAAGCCATCACTCAGCATGCAGAGGAGAATGTAAGATACCTCCTTGATGATGTTGGCTGTGGGTGACATGATTCATGGCACTATCTCAGATATTGCAGGTTAAATAAAATATAGAATTAAAGTTAATTTCACCTGCTTTCTTTTACGGTGTGTGTGTGTGTGTGTGTGTGTGTGTCTGCTAGAAAATGTTTACCTCCGGGGCTCATGTTACGCATCTGTGGGAGAGCGTTGGTCTGGAGGGTGGACCAACAGACAGACAGACCACAGACACGTTGATCCCATATGGGGTGACAGGCCGCCGCCTGGTGAAGGTTGTGGCTGTTCGGAAGCACGACGCCTGGCCTCTCCTGTTTGGCTATGTTTTCTTTTTAATGTTTTTTTAAAAATATATTTGTATTGATTTCAGAGAGGAAGGGAGAGGGAGAGAGAGAGAAACATCAATGATGAGAGAGAATCATTGACTGGCTGCCTCCTGCACGCCCCCTACTGGGGATCAAGCCCGAAACCCAGGCATGTGTCCTTGACTGGAATCGAACCCAGGACCCTTCAGTCCATAGGCCAATGCTCTATCCACTGAGCCAAACCAGCTAGGGCTGTATATATATATGTAATTAATTTCAGAGAGGAAGGGAGAGGGAGAGAGAGAGAAACATCAATGAGAGAGAATCATTGATCGGCTGCCTCCTGCACGCCCCCTACTGGGGATCAAGCCCGAAACCCAGGCATGTGTCCTTGACTGGAATCGAACCCAGGACCCTTCAGTCCATAGGCCAATGCTCTATCCACTGAGCCAAACCAGCTAGGGCTGTATATATATATGTAATTAATTTCAGAGAGGAAGGGAGAGGGAGAGAGAGAGAAACATCAATGAGAGAGAATCATTGATCGGCTGCCTCCTGCACGCCCCCTACTGGGGATCAAGCCCGAAACCCAGGCATGTGTCCTTGACTGGAATCGAACCCAGGACCCTTCAGTCCATAGGCCAATGCTCTATCCACTGAGCCAAACCAGCTAGGGCTGTATATATATATGTAATTAATTTCAGAGAGGAAGGGAGAGGGAGAGAGAGAGAAACATCAATGAGAGAGAATCATTGATCGGCTGCCTCCTGCACGCCCCCTACTGGGGATTGAGCCGAAACCCGGGCATGTGCCCTTGACGGGAATCGAACCCAGGACCCTTGAGTCCACAGGCCGACGCTCTATCCACTGAGCCAAACCGGCTAGGGCAGGCCGTGTTTTCTGCGATGCATTGCTCTAAGTGTTTTTCCACAGCTTGTAGCAAATGGCCTGCACCTGCAGACCGGACGATACACTCCCCAGGCAACTCGGGCGCGCCCTCTGCCTGACCGAGTGGTGCGCCCCCCACCCCATCCGACATCCCGCTATCTTCCAAGGATGTCCTGTTCGGCCGCTCCCTGAGCTGGTGCAGCCTGACCCAGTCCCCACGTAACAGAACATAACCCCCCCTCGGTGCCCCGCCGTGAGAGGATGTAACACAGCTTCTTAAACTCTCACAGCGCCTCTTGGCCTGGCTCCTGTTGGCGGGGACCAGACAACGGCCACAGAGGGACAGCCTCTCCGAGGCCCCTGTCTGACCCCTTTTCTCTAGCGAGGGGTTAACCGTGACGTTTCTGGAGCAAATCTCAGAGGTGCCGTGTCTCCCTGGGCCTCAGTTTTCCCATCTGTACAACGGGCCGGCTGCCTCCCTGGGAGGGCCAGCTCGCGGCAACCGCCCGGGAAGGTCGCAATTATTATCAATCTTCACCCCGACCCCGCCCTGCCTGGCACCCCGAGTTCCTGGACGAAGAGGAGTCACGGGAATTAGAGAAGGAGGAAGGACAGCCCCGCGCAAACCCTGACTCAGCAGAGGGCCCGTCCGGCCCTGCCCCAGGCATCACCCGCCGCGCCCACTTCACAGATCCACAGTCCGAGAGCCTCGGTGCCCGGCCGGCCCCGGCGAGTGAGCCGCATGGGTGGGACCTGAACTCAGGGCCGCCTGCCGGGGAGCTGTGTGACCCGGGCATTCTTATCGCGGGGCAGGTCCTTGGGTCCTGGCTCCGGTCCCAGCCCGGGCCCAACTCCACCTGCAAGCCCAGCCGCTGGCCTCCCCTCCCCCCACTCTGCACCTCCTCCCTGAGCCAGGCCTCGCTGCCCCCCTAACCCCCCTCCCGCCTCAGGACCGGGGCTCCCTCCTTGCCTTGGCCTTCGATGCTGCTGATGGGCTCCTGTCCCTGCCCGAGCCTGGCTCCCTTCGGCAAACTGGGCTGCCCAGTTCTTTCCAAGTGGGTCCTGGCTGTTCCCAGGTCCCTGTCCCTAAGCACCACCCCCCCCGCCCCCAGAGAGCAGGCAGGAA